TTTTTTTTTTTTAAAATTTTTTTTTTTTTTTGGATTTTTTTTGCAATGATTTTTTAATGATTTTCAAAAAAAAAAAAAAAAAAAAAAAAGAAAAATGATTTATTCAATCGGAAACGGCAGTAATGCCAGAGAAAAAGATAATTATTAGCTTGAAACAGAAAAAAAATGAAAATGAAATGAATAATTTTCAACCAACGAAACAAAATTCTAGTAATTTCCGATTGCCAAAAAAAAAAAATGTTTCCAAATCCCAAAACCGAGAGAACGAGAGAAATCTAGAGAGAGAGAGAGAGAGAGAAAAACATTGATTATTAATTTCCATGGAAATCGATAATCATTATCATATGACCTCGCTCTCTCTCTCTCTCTCTCTTGATCGGATTTATTTTGAATCTAATTTTATTCTGGTAGTTTTTTTTTTCACTGATTAAAGAATCGGATTCTTGCGTGAGCGTGTGATGGTTGTGATTTTTTTTTCTGATAAAATTTTCTTAAATTTTTCCAAATGAATTATTCAAGTTTGAAGATAAAACAAAAAAACGAAAACAAAAAATCGATATTTGTGATCGATGAGATTAAAATTGATTCATTTTTTTTTTGTTTTTTGTTCACTTTTCCAATTGTAATCACCGTGTTTGCTTCGTCTGTGTATGTGTGTGTGTGGGTATTCTCCTTATGAAAACATTTTCTATTGAATATGGAAAAAAATTACAGCCAAAACAAAACCCGTCTGATGATTTTGGCATCAAATTTTGGCAGTTGAACAAAAAAAAAGAAACCTCTGAATTTAATCGAAATAAAAAACGATTATTGTATTTGAATGGATTTCGCAAAAAGAAATTCCATGTAAAAACCAAAAAAACATTCAAAGGATTCAGATGTTTTTGGCCAACTCGAAAAAAAGATTTACCACGAAAAAAAAAAATTTTGATCTAATTCTTCGATTTATTATTACGTATTTTTCTTATGAAAAAAGACTTTTTTCGATTTGAAAAAAATGATGTGATTTGTTCGGATTATGATTTTTTTTGTTTTCGTTTGCATTTTGAATTGAAATGATGTAATTATTTTCCATTTTTTTTTATATTTCTTCATTTTGGTTGTTCAAAATGATTATATTCGGGTTTTTTTTTTCTGTGGTGGCAGTGTTGTATGGGGGGGAAAAAATGAAAATCCAAATTTTGGCTATAGCATCATTTGTAATCAATCATTACACAACACCAGCCACCCACTTGAAATATTTTATTTTATTATTATTATTTTTTTGCAAAAATAACACTTTAGTAGCCGAATAATAATAATTTTAATTCGGAATTACAAAAAAAAGTAATAAAATGTATCAAAAATTGTTAACTCGTTCGCTACCAGCGCTTGAGAAACAAATCTTTAACCACAGCCCATTGAATTTTTTATAATAGAACTTTGAATGGCAATGATTTTAAAACCAACGCATATTTGTAAAAATAATTATATAAGAAATTTGAAAAAATCTAATTGATAAATAAATGTAAAATCTT